TGCGCGCCGACACTTCATCTGTGATGCGTCCGCCGGGTGAGATATAGCTGCCTAGATAGCAAAATTTGTTTACTTCCTCTACTACTTCTCCAGTTAGGTTGAGACTGGGCGCTGGATCAACCCAATCTTGTAGTAGCATTTTCGAAAGAAAAGTAACTGGACAAATATTTGGTCAAACCTTATTCAGAGATTATTCGATCAACTGTGATTAGATTCAAATTTCCAGAGAACTTCATCAAGGATATTACCAGATACGTGAAGCCCCCTCCTCCTCCCCCTCTTCTCATGTAAAACTATCACCATGGGAATGGAGTGAAAGACACAAGTTGTAGAGCCCTCCAAAAGCCTACAGAACGCGATGCCAACAATATGAAAACTGATACCGATGATACATTTGCGACCATCGAGAAAGCATTGTTGAAACATTGATCGCAATTTGTATCTAATAGTGACGAAACTCACTGTTCTATGAATTCCGTGCTCAGATCGCTGACAAAGCTTGAGCGGAGCTGTCGATATCGCGTCCCGCACTGAGTCATCAACCTAACGGTAGAGAGAAAAATACAAGAAACAATGTACAAATGATCAATATCAAGCCTGAATCAAAGCATGATTTAACCCCTTGCTATATGCAATGCGAAACAGGAATGCCACTGAAGCGAAATCTGAAGTATGAGATATACCTTTCTGATTTTGAATACGACAAGTGAAAAGCGGACGCAAGCTTGAACACTGGCTAACTCGTCCTGTCGAAAAATCGTGGTATGATGAAAAAGTTTTCTTTGTTACGGGTGTGTAGGCTGCTACGAACATAACCCCATTTGAATAGCATTGTTCGGCAGGTTTCTAGCTTTCCACTTAACCCGAATACGAAGAGAACAGTGGCTGTGGTTCTGCAACTGATCAAACCGTGTTACTTTGTCTAGACACAATATAGTATAATCAATTTTTACAACCTTATTTTGAGCCACAGTTTAGCAGCACCCTAGCTGCTTCAAATCACCGTTACTTAAAGCCGATCTCGGAATCCTACAATTACCTCCCAACTTTGTCGCGGGGGAGGAATTTCTCTAGAAATCAACTCGAAACGGCCTCTGTCTGACCTTATTGGGATTTATGTAGTTTGGTCAGAGTTTTCACTACTAGGCATGAAAACAAACGATAACCCCACACACAGTCAATATATGGATTCAGTTCCATTTGAGAAAAAAAACTAACAATAAGATTTCAAACAAAACAACAGGGTGGCGGACAAACTCGTTTTCAGCGATTCGTGTTCACAATATACATCACGACTTGGAAATAAAATTTTTTTGGGAACATAAACTACAACCATATAACATCACATAACATCACAGACTACTAGGATCGACTTTGTGGTCTCCTTGTGTGTGTACTCATTCACTTGTTTCTGTGGAACAAAGTACGGTCAAAGAAAAGTCCGAATGGATTCGTGCGTGGCTGAACATTGGAACGATTAAGTCTCTCACAAGAACAGTGATTTCGCATCCTGCTGAAACAAATCCCACTGTGAACGTGGCCGAGGCTTTGAGCCAGCTGTGTAAAGTTCCTGGGTGATTATCAAGACGAATCCGCTGTCGGATGCTAACCACAACAGAAGCGATGGAAATTCGTTTTCATCAACCCGGGTGTACCGAAAAACAATTTGCGCAGGCGCTTAAGCTTCTCTTGTCCACCCCACACACACCGTAACAAGAGCAATCTCGATAATCGGACGATTGAACAAACAACTATGTGATCATGGTGAATTCGATTTGCGGTCTCATAAAAAAATCGATCCTAGTAATCTGAGTAATGTAATGCGGTTTTATTTTCCCAGGTCAATTTTATTCCCAAGTGGTAATATATATTGTGATGTACTGAAATGACTACGAATCACTGAAAACGAACTTAATCGCCAATCTGCTGTTTTGTCTGAAATGCGACTATTCAGATACTAATGAGATGTTGCATGACTCATACCATGTCAAACTCCTCTATCCTCCATCATTGAGAGGCGGGTTGGGATAAATGGACTTACCGAGTGAATGTTTCATGGGTGAATCGGGCTACCATGGCACTGGACATTTGCAACACTACCTCACATTCACCCAGAGGAGAAGCGCGCCCGAGCCAAAGACGAAACTGACCATCTCTGCGTGAGGCACATTGTCGCACAAATGAATACTGAAGGTATACGTATGCCACAGAGGGAGAGCATGAAAGAAAAAAGAAACAATCCGCTCGAGAGGAAGAGTAACACGGGAAATGATACTCTCATCCAGGTGACAAATAGTTCTCAATGTCTGATGGGATTTCTGATATGCAAACCATGTTTCACTGGCAACACAATGTTTATCAAACAAAATTATCCACTATCCAAAGGGAAGCAACGGGAAGAATTTCATTTTCATATGTTCGAATGCATTAGAACTCTCAGACAGTTCCAATCCATGCATATAAAGCCCAGCGAGGTGGGGGTGGGGTAGAATGTGTGCAAATCGCACCTGCATATCAAAATCCTCACTGAAAATATCCCGGGGGAGAAGGCGAGACGGAAGAGGATGGAGGATGGCAGGTTGGTTAGGGTGACTAATCACTCACTGGGCAAACCAATTCCGGTTGGCGCAAATTGCAGTGCACGATCAGAAATTCTGACACGGTAAGACATAGAAACCGTCGTCCCACAGAGTTTGCAAACCCCGATGCGGGAAGTGAAGTGAGCGGGAAGTGAGTGGCTCGAATTTTGTACCGGACAGTTGCCGTCCAGACGTAATCTGCAGAGTGAATAAAATCAGATCACATGTATGCATGTGTGTTTGTCTGTCTGTGCAACAAACCGCTTCAACATTTTTGTTCAGCTTATCTTGTTTGGCATGTTTGTGCCGACAACATAGGTACAAATAATTTTCTGACGTCAACCGGTGCAGTGCGTATTTGTCACACCAGTTTCAGCAATTGTTAACAGGTTACCAATTATGGCTCTCCGCATTACTGTTGAACCAAACTAACTGACTATCATTGAAGGTGACATGCGAACAAACTTTACTTGGCAGTGCTGGTCAAACCAGGAGTGATCTTCCGAGGCGATTGTAAAGTGAATGTTCTTAAGAGAGGTCGTGGAGTGGTTACTTAGCTCAATAAAAAATGGTGCGAAACGCCATTTTGTCACCGTGGTAACCTTTGGTGATTGACCTATCATCAATGTCTGAGCAACTATGACAAGCTTTGATTGAGTTGTAGCTCTTAGTAAACACTGTCACCATTTGTGTTACAGTTATTCCATATGAAGTGATAATTTTCCAATTCAAAGTGATAACTTCTCAAATCAAGCTTTAAATTATATAGAGATGACCGTATGAAAACAAAGTACAAATATGAATTCATAAACTTGGCAAAGCAGATAGTGTCCCTTAACCAAATGAAACTTGTCTGATGCGATAATTTCAATGGTTAGAGACCAATTATTCATACAAGCTGGGAAAGTGACACAGTGTCCAACCACTCCTTCTCCAAAATTTTGACACTTCTGGTGGGTCCATGCACCGACTGATGAAACGATTGTATAAACACCACTCGCACACGCATTTTACAGCTATAGGCTAATCTGCCACTGTTTTCTTTTTCTATTCCCCGGCATGCGCAAGCTTCAACAAAGAAGAACCCTGACGAATAAGTAAAATGGACAGGATGTCTGTCTCCTGGTGATAAAATGAACAAACAAAAACAGTAATCGCGAAGAAGGACCCACCCATATCTGGATAGCCTCGTAGTAGTTTGTTCTTATTCAGTATTCCATGCAACGCACGTAGGCATTGGTCGCGATCCGGACTCGCGTCGAATCGGAGTAGGCAAGTCTCACCAGACTCGAGGAAAAGCATCAACGGTTCGCAGTCGAAACCATGGACCATTTCATGCGTAGGTGGCGCCTTTTGTGGACAGTCCGTAGCCAGATGAGAAGCATCAGTCAGAGAGATATCATCGCAGCCAAATGAATTCTAAGGTTGCGTTTACAAAATAAGAAGATAAATATGAATGAATGAGGAGGTATATCAGGAGAGTGAGCCATGTTTTTTCTTGCCGTGCTCTATGAATTTTTATTCCGTCTCTATAAAACCGGAATATGTGAATAACTAGTCAACAGGCATATCAACCATAAAAGGGAAACGTTCTGTTTATCTTCGACAGAAAGCTATATCAAAAAACGGATGAAGTTTAAACGGAATAGCAACTTGAGCCCGTTTTTTACGCAGCAAACCAAGAGATTCCTGAAGCCCTAGATCATCAGTCCGTGCATTGTAATGGTATCATTAATATTTTCATCTGGTTCAGCAAAAATAAGCCGTTGCTAGAACTCATTTCAGTGGGCTCAACTGCAAGTCACCCATAAACACTTGGACAAGTATTACTGACTTCATTTGCTCAAAGATTTCAACTCCTTGGATTGCGACTGCCGAGGCGCTTGCTACGCACGTCACCGAACAGGACTCCCATATAAGTATATGTCTGCCAAAGCTAGATCATAACCTAACAAGAAAATATGAAAACTTTGGCCAGTGGATACAGTATCGTAGCTCATGCTGTGCCTTCCGGTTTTGAACTTCAAAATCAACCTAAACAGTAGTTGGTACCATTCTTTGGTATTGCAACGAGAAGGCAAGCGGGCGGTACAAGTTTACAGACAACAGAGAAAGTTAGTTTTATGAATTAAACATAGCCATGTATAACGTCTTCGAATCCAGCCACTGTCATGAAAGATTCACCATCCGATTAGCTGTTTTCCTCGTTTCCTGATATCCCTTAACTTCGGTCTATTGGACTGCAATCTCGCTGTGTCAACACAGGTTCAACTGCAACTATGAATCGGAGGCGATTTGATGCTTGCTTGGATTGTGGACGTACTGTGCTTGGTTGTTGATAATAGTCCATTTGGTGCAGGGTGCTTCTAACGTGTCAGTGCTGTTTCTTCGATCAGTTTCTCTTGATTGATGTGTCACCGGATTGATCACTTTCTCCATTGGTTGCTGCGGGAATCTCTTCCACAGCTTGATTGAGTATAGAAACAATGACGCTCGTGCACCCACTTACACTGATTGCACACTCAGTTTTCTCATATAACCTACCTTTATATTGGTAAGCCCGTCGCAGTCCTTCAGTACTTATTTTAGTTTCACTCTAGATCGATGGCCAAAGACAGCAGTCGAAACCGGGGCATGGAGCGGCAGAACCACTGATTGTACAGCCTGAAAATTAGAGCATGACACTGTAGTCTAAAGTGGTAGGAGGACGGAAGAAACAGCGCCTTTGTTGTATGGTAGCATTTATGCTTCTATCTAGCAAATCACGGAAATAGGATTTTATGTTTTCATATGGTCGTTTCGCATATAGAAGTCTGTTATTGCGCTAAAACACAAAAACAACAGCAGCTTAGCAGAATAAAAACTAACCTACCTGCTGGTCAGTACAGTGCAAATCAGATTTCTTATCCATGGAGGTTAAACCAAACCATCGACCGAGATGAAAACGCGCTCGTTTTACCCATCGATCATTCTCAGCAGAAGTAGAAGACCTTGCTACATGAAACAGATCATCCAATCCATGCATTTGTGCTTCTATTCGAAGCACACGTTGATCCCTGGGAGTCTGGCCAATTCGATTGACCGGTTGGAAAGGTGAACGCTTTATTCGCCGAACGATGAAAGGCCATCGTGCAGATTTGTAGGTGTACAGAACCAGACGCGGTGATGTGAAATCGGTATGGCAAGTAATTTCCGTATGTTGATACCGTCCAGGCTGAGCATGGGAAGAACCAGTAGAATAAAAAAATCACTTGGGTAGGTGTAATCCAATACAAATTGATTACAGTTCAGATCTCAACATTTTTCATTTTGTTTCTACACCTTGGAGGTGGAGTTCAGACAAGAGATAGCAAAAATTTGGCACTAATAGCTTTGACGAAAACACTACCTCAGCAGCTGCACATTATACGGAAATTATTGAGTAGTAAACCAAGTATTTAAGATTTCTACAGACAGATGCCTTTATTTCTCGTTCCCAATGGCTTTTGCCATTGTTGCTATTCTAACTTTGTGAGCTGTGATTTTGAGCTTCTTTTAGAAAAACAATAGCGAATGAATTTTTCGGTTTTATCTTTGTCTCAGATTCAGTTTTAACATGAACTGTCAAAGGGACATTTTTGTCATATTTTGCCTTTTACCGTCTGCATTGGTCGAAAGGTTGATACCCCCAGTGATATGTGTAAAGTTAGAGACTGAAAATTTGTCCAACGGGATCAACAAAGCTATTCTGGCTGTGAACCGATTCAATTGTGTAAATATCCTATGGGGACTAGAGAAGCATGAGCTTGTAAGTAATTCCCATAATAAAACTCTGACTTTGACTTGATCTGACATATGGTGCCTTTCCACAATGTGTATGCGAGAATTAGATTTCTTAAATTTAATCAAGGTGATTTTCTGTGCCAAGCATTCAGGTCAACCCGTCGATTTTGGACCCACTGACTGGCGACCAGATAGCAGTAGGAGAGATTCATGATTAGTTTAATAACGTCATAAGGTAAGCCATCTAGAAGAAAGTTCCAAACATTTGCCTGGCAGCACGTCTGCTATATGGGTTCCACATGAATCGAAGGAGGTTAGGCTAGATTACAAATATACGATACATTTCGAGCTGCTTTCAAGGAACCAAACAATCAGGTTCAGCAGTAGGTGAAATCTCGTGAATCAAGTGAGGAATAGCGGAGAGAAATAAAAAATTGTCAGTTACTTCGAAATTAATTGTTCATTTTCTATTTTATTCGCAATATATACTATAGTACAACCGACTTTCAGGAAGAGGGTGGTAGTCAATCAAAGGCTGTCCGCGCAAGTACAGAAGTGAGGATGATGGGCACCGTCGGCTGCGGGATTTGAACTCTACCACCGATATAACCATTTAAATAACGTTTCTACACAATAAAGCGAGACTGCACACATCTTCAGCTACTTGACAAAGTTATCGGAACTGGGTTGAGAAATGACAGGATATGCATCGTATAACCCTGACGTCGCATTATCAGATTACTGTTTTTTGAGCACTGTTCTGAATATTATGATTTACTCCAATGGCAATACGGTGAACTCTCACTCGATTCACTTTTCTACCGACAGACGTCAGCGGTTCCGCGAGAGGGAATTATTACGTTACCAGAAGGAGGAAAAATGGTGGTCAAACACAACGGTAAATGTACCGTTGAATAAAGTTCCCTCAGTGCATGGAACAGTTTTTCATCCTTGTTAAATTTACTTAGTTAACAACTAAAAACACTTGGGAGTCGCCCGACAAAATGTTTTGGTCTGTTCCTATACTGTCGGGATGCTCTCTTCCAATAGGGAACAGGTTATCAAAACACCAAACGGATTGTGGGAAAAGATCACAGATGCCTTGTCAAACTACCTCACAGTATGACAGCGCGCATTGAATCGGACAACCAAGAAGGGCTAAACCGTGCACAATACATGGAATATAAATATCTACAGCTCAGAATAGTGTAATTGGTTCGGTCGAACAATAGGTGTGCGTGTGCGTGTGAGTACATGCATGCGAATATCCTCAATTTTAGACAAATGCGGGATGCGGGTGTGTGCAACTTGTTTCGTCGTGGGGCTTGACGGTGTGGGTCAAAACGAGGACATGTGGTATTGGTTAGAATGAGGTCAGTGAAGTTGAATCGAATTCGATCGATACGTTCACCTATGAACAAAATTGGACTGCATCAGAATGGCAACGGCCACGGTCCGCAAACTAGCAAGTTTTAGTGAAGTGCTCCGCTCAGTTCAGGAGTGAAATAACAGAATGAGCAGAACACGAGCAGTTCTATGCATATTAAAAATATGCACAAAGAATGAATAAAACTACGGACGGACAAAGTCAATGAAACCAATTGATTTGATAGACCAGTTTTAGTTCACTTAGAAAAAAGAACGTCAGTGGGAACACAGCAGATGAATAGCATCAAGCACAAAGCTTCATTGGACTTTTATAGGACTGGAGAGTGCTGAAAAGAGGCAATCAGCAGTTTGCACATAGACCACATCGGTCACCTCAGAGGAAGCTGTCAAAGCAGTTTTGACTTCATGGCACTCAGTTGTTACTTATCAATGATTATGAATAACTCAATAACGGAATAAATTTATCACCCTAACTCTTCTCATTCGTCTCGGATCAGGGGTGATATAATTACCCTGATTCCAAAATAAATATTGCAGCTATCAATCTGTACTGCGCGACCAGTACAGCTAGTTTGCTACGCAAAGAAATTCTGCGTAATACTGATCAGGGTCGACATCCCAACCACGCCACTGTCACTCGTATATGGGGTGTTATAATTTCACAAGGCGGTGCTCGATTGAGGATAGTTGTTTATTGAAGATAAAAGTTAGGATAACACTCANACTCATTTAACATACATATAACATAAATCTCATTCGAAACATGTCATCGTAATTTACAGCAGTACACCGGGTAATGACTGGAGCGGTCCGTAGTTATTCTTTGAGACACAGTAATTCACCCCAGTAGTCTTGTTAATTGTTGATCGTTGAAGGAAACCATCAACCGCACTATTTTGCCAACTGCTCACAAATGTGAGTAAGACCTCACAACAACTGTAGATAGCTGCAATCTCCCTCTGCTTCATACCGTGATCATCCTGTTGAGTGATGTATGCGGCGTATCGCTTCGAGCCTCGATCTAAGGTTTTGTATCTGAATAGCAGATAGGCTAGACAACGGAGTTCACCATTTTTACCACCACCCTACCACGGCGTTTGGTGAAGAGAAAAGTTATTATGAGTAAATCTTCCCGGGAGATGTTTTTTTTAAGAAAACACGTTTTCTCAATGGTTTCGTCGATATTACCCTGTTTAACTTCTTACATTGGTTGTTTATTTTATAAACACTGCATCAAGATCATTCAAAAAAAGTGAGCCATAAAACCTTACTACGACAAAATTTCTCACTGTGCTTGGGAGGTTAGATGGTAGAGGCTAGTCAAGCCATAGTTTTCTGGTCCTCCGATTTCTAGGTTCGACTCGAAATGGTGTCTCAGTCTGTAAATGAGCATCCTTTTTGCTTTACCTGCTGCCTTGTGGTTAGGTTCTTCTCAGGGAGAAAGGCCTTAGACAATAACCTAATCGTTCTCGTGCTTAGTGGCTGGAAACCACAGCAGCACCCATCCATCAAATTCTAATGCATACACAAACCGAATATAATTCCATACTGTATATTTATATTACTGTACATATGAGTTTTCGAAAACCTTTTTTCAAAAGCCAAAGAAAGCATTGGTGACAGGCTTAAAATAAAACATTCTCAAATTTTTCAAACTTCAACTTTTTCCATCAGCTTCGTCACTATCAGATTTATCCATTCAGTAGTGAATCATCACAACGCGAATAAAGCACTTCTGTCCGATACAATTTCCCACTTTAATTGAACAGGCTCACAGAGTGCATATCTGATGCGTAACTACACAAGTTATTCTCCCTCTCACTACGCTCATGTCTGCATTAGATAATGTCGAAGTTTGCCAATATCCGGACCCATGTAAACACAACACAATACACACAATCTGCGGTCATTTGGGGTAAAAAAAAGTGAGAGAAAACAACATGATGCTATCGACTATGGAGGATGAATGATTCAACAGAGCATCTCACGAAATTTCACGAATGCTGAGATTTCGCTTAATCGCCTCAACCGCTGAAGTAAAATAAACAGGTAAATGTATAACACTCTGGGTTGGTAAATCCTAGTAAACAAACGTGTAAAAATAGACTGAGGCTATTACAAAAAGAAGCACTCCTGAAGAAAACGTTGCTTTCAAACGGTTACCCAAAAACATTTACTGATATCCATAATAAACAATCTCAAAATGGCCCATCTCCAAACGTTACCCAAAAAACCGTCTATGTCAAACTATATTTCAACAATAATGAAATTCTGAACGATGTGCGGCACCAGTTTCAGTCAGCTCTGTACCGCACACGTCTGGCTGTTCAACTTCCATTTATGTTATCGGCTCCTCCATTCCTGATTGATAATTGGCAGCCGATGGCTTATTGCTTCTGTTAAATAGTAAGGAACACACTTCCGAGTGTAGACAGTGAAGCATATTTATTACACAGGAAGTGAATCCAATGAAAGTGGTGAGCAAAAAACAACTCAGTTGTGTACAGTAAGTGGAGGTGGGATAAGGAGAAAATTTAGACTTCAAGAAAACTTCTACATAAATGGGGAGTGGAATTGCTAAATCCCTACGAATAAGTTATTCCAGTTTCGTGTGCGCTCGTGGCATACTCGCAGCTCTTCCACGTTAAGACTGGGCTCTGTTTCCTAACAACTACCATTCCCAGAGAGACTGTTAATATCGCAATGGAATGCTTTTTGCGTGTGAAGCGTTCCAAGCTAGTCATCGGTGAAACTTAGTAGTGAAACCATTGACTTCTATGTGGTGAATACATCCAGAAAACAACGTGCCTAAATGGTATTGTGGAAAGTTCAGAGGATATACTCGCTAAACAAACGACAATTGTCTCTTGCAGCTCAATTTGATTATGGAATATAATTGTAAAATATTCTTGCTTTAATAGACCACAAAGTGCAATCAAGACTCCGGAAAGTCACCAAACAACAAATGGGAAAGCAAAGCAATAATGGCCAAAATCGAAGATGTTGGGCGATTTATATCATTCAACTACCACCACCGCCCCGTATGTTGCTTGCTGGACGATCAATAATATTGGGCTGTCGTGGCGTTATCGAATAGGGTGATATATTCGTACTTTAGCTTTCACGTTCTCCATTAAAACATTTGTTGCTGCTTACTTTATACATTAAGTGTCTGCTCGCCGGTGTGACACTGACCGCTTATAAGCAGCTTTAAATGAACTCAAAGTTATTCAACTTATTAATCGCGTGGTACCTTTTTCGAAAATGAACATATTCTGGTATTAAATTGCTCCAAGAAACAAAAATGATGCATCGTCGCTGAGAAACTGCTTTTTACATAACTACTTCGAGGTCTTAAGGTCGTAAGTTCATCACAATCGCATGATTCTTATTACTAAATTGGAAAATTATTGGTGATATTCCAACAAGTTATGCCAATAGAAGCATAGCCAATGACCCAAAATTGCACTCTGGGAAAAAAGGATTGCGAGAGCTTTTCGCTGAGGTAGGGAAGTCGTGTCAGTTGTGTGGCTTCAACGCTGCCTCACAGTTGTGGCATATCGAGTTTACGAGTGGAAAGGTATAGGTTCGTAACCCTTAGATTTCATGTAATTTAGTTTGCCTGTGGGTATATTAACCGCTGTTTCGTCGTGGGTGTAGTACTTCTAGTGTCTAGGAGCGTTCCGGCTTAAAGCTACTTTTTATCGCACAGAATATTGTAAAGAAAATTCAGAGAGCTAATCCTAAGAGAAGAAAAGAGGCGGGAAGAGTGGATATCGACTATTAATTTTGTTTGTTCACAGTCGAATGTAAACGCATATTTATACAACACTGTCAAACAAAGAAGCATGGGAGTTGAAATGTGTGATTATATCCAGATGGGGGAGGGGGGGCTTGCGTAATTTGGTTTGGTTA